AATACATGTTGATGACCACCAACTGATGGTACTTAAACCTACACAAAAACAGGACAAGTCCCCTTGTCACCAAGCTGCCAGTTACAGTAATACATGTTGATGACCACCAACTGATGGTACTTAAACCTACACAAAAACAGGACAAGTCCCCTTGTCACCAAGCTGTCAGTTACAGTAATACATGTTGATGACCACCAACTGATGGTACTTAAACCTACACAAAAACAGGACAAGTCCCCTTGTCACCAAGCTGCCAGTTACAGTAATACATATAGATGACCACCAACTGATGGTACTTAAAGCTACACAAAAACAGGACAAGTCCACTTGTCACCAAGCTGTCAGTTACAGTAATACATGTTGATGACCACCAACTGATGGTACTTAAACCTACACAAAAACAGGACAAGTCCCCTTGTCACCAAGCTGTCAGTTACAGTAATACATGTTGATGACCACCAACTGATGGTACTTAAACCTACACAAAAACAGGACAAGTCCCCTTGTCACCAAGCTGCCAGTTACAGTAATACATATTGATGACTACTGAAGAACTAGATCACACTAAAGTCAGAATTTATCATATGTAAAATTAATAAAATAATAACTTCACACACATAAGTTGTATCAACAACCCACACACACACACAAAAAAAAGAAAGAAAAAAGTGACAAGGTGTCCTCATTCATTCAGAATAAGTTAATTTAATATTTTCATGAAACAATTTATACAAATTAACCAGAAATATCTAACAAGTTACTACTTATTTGTGAGTGATACTTAACTCTTTACAGAGAAAGAATTTTTCCAGCACCAGGTTTATTTTTTTTAGATACAATAATTACTTGTACAATTTTCTGAAATGTTTCATAGATCATTAAATTCTTAGATTGTAAAACCATTAAGTAAAACAATCACCTATGCACTTGTTTCTAAAACTTTATTTTTAATTAGTTATAATATTAGAGATTTTACTATACAAGTATTTTTTGGAAAATATACTTAATAGCACACTTTTTTTACAGCTAAAGCAAAGGTTGTAAAGTGTTCCACATATGCATGAAATATAAGTGTCCGTTGAGATATCAAATATAACACTTTTATACTATTGATTAACAAGTGATATCTAAACAGACATACATGTCTTATGTAACAGTTTAAAGAGGCATAGCTAATCAGTCAATCAGTAAGTTAGTATTGATTTGGGAGTCTCTTACTTAGACAATTTTAATTACTAAAGGTATACTAGTCATACCAAATTAGGCAATCTACAAGTTAATATAAAATGGCATTATAAACCACACTTATTCAGTCAACTTACTAATGATTCATGATGATACTTAAACAAGAAAAATATTTGTAAAATATGGTATATTGGCTGCAGCGTAAAATGCTACATTTTCTGGACTTATTATCAAGTATAAAAGGCCTTATCTGTGGTCACCAATACAAAAACACGATGACAGTTTATTCAAGTACCGCTTAAAAATAATAATTCCTATAACAAAAAGTTGAAAACCATTTCGCACCTCTGTATCGAGAGAGAAACTGCCACGTGGTAACTGAAGAAAATCTGCTATTATTTCTTGCTTCTCAGTTAAGATGTCTGCAATTTCTTGGTCTTTTCTCCTTAGTTTTTCTAGTTGTATACAAGTTAAAAAATTTCCATCATTACAAGAAAAAACAAGTTTTGATTAATGTTACACAAAAGGTTATAGTTATTCACCCTTTTCACTGAAAACCTGGAAAAGTGGTTTTCATTCTGTGCCTTTATTCAGCATATAAAACAAACATTGTAAAATATACTTGTAGACATTATAGTTACCTATAGGGGTCACCACTGTCTCAGCAGTTTGAGTAACAACTTTATCACTAATTTTGACTTCATGTGGTTCTATTAACCGATGAAAATTAGTAACATGAAAGACTTCCACTTTGTCAAAACATTTTGGAGATCTTTTATTATCCTCTCTTATAGAAACTGCTTGCTCCTCTTTCAGTGCTGATCTTGCAGACAACTTTTCTGAAGGAACTGAAGCATTAGCATCAACAGTAGGACTGGCATTGTTACTGTTCTCTGTATTGGAATCACATTCAGGGTTAACAGGCATGTCTACATTGTTGCCAGTGTTGCTACTTTCTGTTTCATTGTTCATTTCACTAGTGGGTTCCTTAGATGGTGAAATCCTGATGAACAGTAATAATAATAATTATGATAATAGAGCATACATCACAGTTATCAACAATGTTTAACGATAGAGCATACATCACAGTTATCAACAATGTTTAACGATAGAGCATACATAATACTGCTTGTAATTTTTCCATTATATGAACTGACTCATTTCTACCTCAGAATACACTTTTAACATTTAGTAGTAACCATTATACTGACAAGAAGATATAGTGGGTGGGTGTAATACTTAGAATCACCCATGGTAACCTATAAATATGTTTACACAATTATCTTGCTCAACTAACAGCTGACAAGTTTGAAACTTTCTTTTATCACTTAATTTTTGGTAAAGAAAGAAAATTAACTAAGATTTCATTTTCAAAAAAAATGTACATAGAAGTTTGGAAATTGTTGTATTTTGAAAATAAAGAACAGAATGATTGGAAAGTTTCTAACATTTTAAGTTTAGCAAAAATCTGTTTGTAGTGCTATAAATCAATGTTAGATTTCTGTTGATTATATATTCAAATGTTAAATACATAGGCTTACCAAGTTGGCCCCCCCAATGAAGAAAGATCTGCCTTATAAAAGTGCTTCGGTTATAAGTTTTAACCGATATATAAAACTTAAAAATAAATTATATTATGTGACAGAAGTCACTCATGTGCCAAGTTATATTAAATAACAGAAGTAACTTGAGTTACAAAAGCAGGCTACAGCTGTTTCATCAGTCATTTTTGTGTCAATATTCAAACTTGTTTCAAAATTTATTGTCAACTTACGAACAAAATACCACAAAGATACACCAAGATAGAAACAATAAAATCTTAATCACACTATTACAAAATGACATTCTGCTTTTGTCAGCATGAACTACAGTGATTAATATCATCCTTGACAAGTGTGATTTTCTAAATTAGATTAAGTATAAATTATATCATACAGATATGAGTGAAAGTCATGTAGCCACCAGATACAAAGAGACTGATAAAGTTATACTTCATACCAGCTTCAGTTTAGATTGTGTAGCAAAGCATAAAAAAGGTATTTTCAGTCAAATTGTATAAAGTTTAAGTTTGTTTGTTTGTTTTTGAAGTTAAGCACAAAGCTACACAATGGACTATCTGTGTTCTGCCCACCATGGGTATCGAAACCTGGATTCTAGTGTAGTAAGTCCGCAGACATACCGCTGTGCTACTGGGGGGTATAAAGTTTAAGATAATGAGATTCATACAAGTTAGATTACTAGATTAGTTGAATACTAATATAATATTTATTTGCATTATATATAATCTTTTTACTTTGATGAGATCATTACAGACTACAAAAGCAATGTTATAAACATGTATATACATCTTATGCCAAACTATATACATCAACATGAAACAGTTCATTCAATAGTAAAACTCATTTCTATTTTATGATTAGACTTCCATGAAAAATGTTCCTCAACGTCACCAAGATAAAACATTAAACTAACTTTATAATCACTTCATAGTTTACTCTACAGTTTACACCAAACGTAGAAAGAATAAGGTTTCTTAAAGCTCATCAAATCATTTAACATTGTTACACAAGATATTTTCAAACTAAGCACGAAAAAAAGTGGATACAAAAATTAAGTATATTGTAGTTGACCATTATATCTGTTTTGAACAAAACAACGTTAGTAAAGTGTTAAAACTGACTTACTCTTTTTGTCTCTCTTCTAATGCTTCTGTTCTCAAAGATTGTAATGACGACAGTAATTGTTGCTTTGAAGCTTGTATATTTTTGAGTTTGAAGGTCTCAACAGTAGCAGTAATGTGTTGTAACCAGCTGATAATAAATAGCGAAATCAAATTTAACTCTTAAACTTTTGAATATTTTCTCACTCTGTTAACAATTTAAGTTCAACTTATTCTATTTACATATTTAAATCAGAGACCTGTAAATTAAAAACAAACAATAACAGAGGAAGAAAAGAAACAGGAGGAGAGAAAATACAATCAGTACATTAAGAAATATTGCTTTCTTTGGATAAATAATCTAATTCTGTAACTGAAAAGCTTCAATTTTACTACACTAGGTTAACCAGTTAGTTTGAAGCTTACAATTTCATCATTTGGTGGATACACTCTTTAGAAAAATGTACAAGATCCAATAAAGCTCAATATACCAGATTCTTTCATTTTCATTGTCATTTTTAGCTAGAACTCATCTTTCAAAACTAGATTTGAAATAACTGTATAATCCAGGCACCATCCATTATTTAGGTTACAAGTATGGTACAACAATACAATATATAGTTTTAAATTCACTTTCACTGTTCAATAATTTTATTGAAGATTCCAACTAGCTTATAAATATATTTTACAAAATAAATAGATAAAATCAAGAAGTACAGAATAATTATAAAAATGTAAACACTTGTAGAGAGGAAAGAATAAAACTAGTTATTTTATGAAAATGGATAAATAAGATATTAATTTTTCATCTTACATACACATTTTTCTCGGAAGGAGAGGCAGCAACAAACTCGTAAATAGAATGTTGTTCAGATGTAGAAACTATGAAGAAGCCTCTTTCATCTGGAAAAAAAAAAATTGTTTTTAAACTTAGGTAAAGAAAGTAAATAAAATATTTATCAACACTTTCACCCTTTTTTTCAAATTGAATTTGTTTTTTTTTTGTTTTTTTAATGACTGCATTAACGTTCACACAATTTTATTTATCATATCAAGCCAGATGCATAAAGACTTGCACTAACGTTCACACAATTTTATTTATCATATCAAGCCAGATGCATAAAGACTTGCACTAACGTTCACACAATTTTATTTATCATATCAAGCCA